TACAGTATTTTCTAACATTTGAATTTAAAAATGTTGTCTAACATCACATAGTAAGGTGACACATACATGGGGGGGGGGTAATCACAATTTATATATTTTAAGAACACGTTTTCAGTATTTGTCAAAGTTGACACATACATGGGGGTGGTAATCACGGTTTATATACTTTAAGAACAATATTATAAAAACAAATATTACAAAATCATTTTTAACAAATAATTAAATTCCATAGAAAGGAATAATTCAATAACAATAAAAATAATAAGACATTTATGTAAAATTTAATCAATAATTTGAAAGCAAAATGATGTTACTGCAAGTCAATTTAAAATCCTACTTCTAGCAAAGGAAAACAAAACTATTTCAAAATCGATTATCACAAAACTATTAATATACAATATATATAACGGGCCGGGTACCCAGTATTTTTTTTATTTTGGAACCGGCCCGGGTCCTTAAAAAAAATTACCCGGACCTACCCGGACCGTTTCATGGCAACAAAAAATGGAACCGGCCCGTTTTGGACACGAACCGCCATTACCCGGACCGGACCGCGGTTCCAAGACCCGTTTGCCCACCCCTAATCCAAACAGTGGACTTGATAGTAGAGATAAAGGCAGAATGTTTACCTAAGAATGTGAAGTCATTAGGAGAGGATCTTTCATTACTAGGAACAGCCATAGCAACATGTGCAACAACTTTATTATTCTGGCTCTTCATGAACTCAAGAAATTTATTGTAAAGAGATGGATCACAGAGGTCCATATCTTTAGAAGGAGAATCGAATGAAGTATTTGCAAGGTGAGCATGAGTGGGTTTACTAGAATTTTGAGAAGGATGGAAACCAGGTGCAGTCCTCTGTCATTTAGGTCCTTTCCAATTAGGTGGATGACCAATGATTTGGAAGCATTTGTCAGCAGAATGTCCTTGATAACCACAGTGGTTACAAGTGACAGAAGATTTTTTCTTATAGTTGTGGTTCTTAGCCAGGAAAGCAGTAACATCATTAGCAGAATTATCAAAAGTTTTAGAAGACTCAGGAATGAAAGAAACAGAGTTGGCAGTATGCTGAAGGGTTCTTTGAGATTCTTCTTCAAGACAAAATGAATAGACAAATGAGAGATCAGGACAAGGCCTTTGAAGAAGAATTTGGCTTCTCAAATTGGAATAAGACACATTGAGACCAACAAGAAATTTCTGGACAGATTCCTTTTGAAGTAATTCACTACTAGAAAAAAGTCTATTTGCTGCGGTTATTTTGAGTTATGAACCGCAGCAATTGAAGGGGCAGCAAAATGTGGATGTAGTCATTTGCGGCGGTCAACAACCGCAGCAAATAAGCAGTTCAAATTTTTTTTAATTGGCTTATTGCGGCGGTTCCAAGACAACCGCAGCAAATGGAGTCACAAAATTCACTTCATGTTTTTATTTCATTTTAACAAATAACAACTACATCCACTGCTTATTTTTTCCGAATGGAGTCAATGGACAACTATCATGCTTTACATTACGGTGTAATAATCAGTAATAGGTACGCAATGGATCAGTAACAATATAATTCTACATACGAGTATTAGTTATCAAATATTACAAAAATATGGTACACATTCAATACAAAAATAGTTAAAATCTTGGAATACAATTTTTAATTGTTTATGTATAATATAGAGTACAATAAATTATCACAAACACATATTTCTCATTTATCCCAAACTTGAGCAATGCCTCGTCTCTTAGGGTGCTCTTGTAAACCTGAAATATTAAGAAATTCCAATTAGCCAATTAGTACATGCTCACTTTGACTTTTTTAAAGTATCAAATATCAACACGTAAATCATTAAATGAATGATGAAATAGTAAATTTACAATAAGTGATACTCCTTAATTAATAGACACTGTTTGAATTCTTCAAAATGAAATGATAAACAATAAAGAATCTGAATGGGTATATATTAGCAAAGGTAATAATAACACAAGGTTAATTGCGTTATTATATGATTATTAATTATTCTCGAAATCTTTTCTCAAGAGCAAATAATAAAACACTTCCCAAAAAGGAATTGTAGGGATAGTTATAAACCTGCAATAGCTTGCTTACACCAAATCCCTCATTTTCCTTACCATATGACAAGAAGGTATATTATCTGCATCTATATATGGAGTCTTTTTTATATGAGACAAATGCTATCCAGCAACGTCTCATGTACTACGAGTTTTACCTAATTTCTCATACATCTAACATTTGGTTCCATAATTCGATTAATCATAAATAAACATTATATGCACTTAATCACTACTTTTATTTATTTCTTAAACATACAAGTATAACAGCTATAGTAAGCAGGCCTTCGCTAATGGAACTAGACAAGTTCATTTGAGAATGATATACAAAAAAACTATTTGCATTTGGATTGGTATATTAAGCAAAACTCCAAGCCATACAAGTTTGTCATATAGCCTGGAATGCTAACGTCTCAGTGTATATCAATGATCGGCATTTCCTCGCAGAGGAAAACTAACACCAAAATTAATCAATTAAGTCCCAAGCTGAATTCTGTATCAAGCTGTTAACCAATTTTCCATTTGTGCTTCAAGTTATGCAAGTGTTCTACCAAATAATAATAGCTCAAAAGCAGTCATGGAAAAACCATACTGATAAACCTTTCCCAAAGTTAAAATCATTTGAGTAATTCTCAAAAATAGCACAACATTTGATCAAGAAAATATCAAAAATAAAATATCAATAAAGTTACCTTTCGAGTATAATCGAGAAGATCTTCTGATTCCTGCTGCACTTTAGCCCTCTTCTCTTCAACTGCTGTTTTCCTTAGAGATAGATCTGCTATTGCTACAAGAAAGCTACAATTGTTTCCTTTCCTAAGACTGTGAAGCCGCAAAAACAAATACAAAGGGAAAACAAGAGATGTAAAACAACAAAAGCTCGCCCACCTACTCAATTCAGCTCTAATGTTCAACAAATTTGACATGCTGGGAAGTTCTCTTGGCCCAACCCCACGTTCTCTAATATCTCTCTTATCCTAGCAGCTACAATCGGGACAGATTCAGCCAGTCAATTACAATACAGCTAGCCATGTAACATTTCAGTCCAATCACAAAGAAAAAAATTAGGTTTGCATTAAACGGTGAGAAGCTAGATTGGCACCTTGACACCTAAATTCAGCATCTTTTTGACGGAAATCTTTAGCTACAATTCCAGCGGCTTGATTTTTGGCCCAAGTAAAGAGTAATCTGTTCTCAATCCGATAAAAAGAAACAAAAAGAAACACTGATCAGCGCTGCTTAACCTCAAAATTCAAATGAAAGCGCAGCGGCAGCTTGTTTTCTAGACTGGGATAGGACATAAGAGGCGATATTGGATGCTTCTTTCTAGGAGTGCGTTGTTGGATTCTTTCAAGACAGACAGAGATCGATGGAGACGGCGGCTTGTTTTCTAGACCGGGGAGAGACGACGACAACAGATTTTTCTGATAGGGGGGCGACGGTGGATTCTTTCTAGACAGACAGAGATGGCGGCGGCGGCTTGTTTTCTAGATTGGGATGAGGAGGCAGATAGGCTGAGGGATAAGGGTTTACAGTTGGGCTTTTTAACAATATCAAGTTAGGGATCGTGTATGAGAAAGCTTTATTGTTGTGGTTATTCCATAGCACGCTGTAAACAGCCTTATTTTTGCAAACAAATGCTGCGGTTGCGGGATGGCCGGAGTAAATTGTGTATATTGTCCGAATAGTTGCTGCGGATGTTTGACAACCGGTGCAAATAATTGATTTTTTAAGTACCAATTGCTGCGTTTAATGCTTGCCCGCAGCAAATAGGGTAATTGTTTTAAGCAATTGCTGCGGTTCTATTATAACCGCAGCAAATAGGTAGCAGCAAATGATAAAAATTCTAGTAGTGATTGTTGATATTTTTCATGAAGTTTGCAGGTACAGAGACCACAAGAGTAAGGAGGAAGGGTTTTGAAATCAACGTATTCATCCCAGAGACCTTTGAAAAAATTATAGTAAGCAGTAATTGTCTGAGTATCCTGAGAAATGTTACCTAGAGTTTTCTCAAGATAGAAAAGCCTAGGACCATCACTTTTGCCATATCTAAGTTGAATTTCATCCCAGAGATCATTAGCAGCGGTGAAATACAGAAAAGTTGAACGAATCTCAGACGAAATGGAGTAAATCAACCAAGAAAGGAGAAGATCATTTATACGATACCCGACGGAGTAAACAACGGATTCATCTTGACTTGGTTGAGTGATTGAACCATCGAGAAACGCCATTTTGTTCTTCACGCTGAAAGCCATGATGACAGACTTCTTCCAAGCATTGAAATTCTCTCAAGTCAGCGTCTCAGAGATGATATGAAGTCCAGGGTGATCATTAGGGTGCAAATAGTAAGGGGATGAGGGATCCTCAGTAGGATTCATAGGGAAATTCATCTGATTCGTCACAAAGAGTTGATGCGATTTAGGGTTTCAGAATCAATTAGGAAAAAGAAAGATTCGATTATAGAAATCGAAGAGGATGAGCAATATCAGGAAGAGGATGAAGGATCGAATCCTAATCTGATACCATGTTAATAATTGAATGAAGAATTCAGATCAAATTGAAGATGAACAGAATGCATTGTAGAGAATTTGATCATTTGAATGGAATTGAAAACTAATATCTAAGTTACCAAAAAAAGAAGGTAGTCATTTACATACTATCTATATACTATCTACAGCTATAAAGAATAGAACCAAACAGGGCCAAGAAGTAAGGCCCAACAAAATATAATATATCCCAGTCCAGTCCATTATTTTATTCTTGATAGAAATGTTTAGTAATTTGTGATTAGTTATTTAGAATGGAAGGTAATTAAGGCGTTTTAATCAAAGCAGATCTTTTTTCAAATTGACACAGTCATCAGAATCAATATGACCGTTGTGAGATACGCTCCCGTCAATACATTTTTGCGAAATTCAAACATAACATATACGAAGTCCGTATATAAGAAGGAACTGTGCCCACATTCTGTTCTAACTACCAAGCTTGAACGCATTTCTTCTTCATTCGTATAATTTCATTTCAAGTCCAAGATGCCGCCGGCGTTGAAGTCAAGCAGACCACCGCTCCCGACGATGAGATCTCCGATCCGTCTCCGATCTCGCCCTCCGCTCAAGCCCACAACCAACACCTTTCTGCAAACTCCTCCACGTAATTCATCCATCTACATACATAATTAAATAATAAATCCTCCCCTTTATTACTGATGATGATGCAATCAAGATTTATATTCAACCATTCTAAATTTAACATTTTGGGTTTAACAGGTTCTATAACAAGATCCGAGTTGCCTAAACGCCGATTGAACGGTGAGGAATGCGGGGCCCTTCGTCCAGAATACCACACCATTTCCGCGGAACTCCGGGCACTGGCGAGGATGGTGAACCAAGAAATCGGCAACGAAGACGAAGCTGATAAGGAAAATCATTCTCTGAACCCGGGAAGGCCTTTGTTCGAGAGGGGGAAATTCTATGAGGAGTACTCTGCGAGGAGGAATGAGAGGTTGAAGAAGAGAAAGGGGGGCGAAACTGGGGAGGAGGAAGAGGAAAAGACAAGGCCGATGAGTAGTAGTTACGGGCTGGGGGTGAGGGTAGAATCGGCAAAGAAACGGGTGGTGCAAAGTGGGAGGAAGTCGGTTCCGGCGACTCCGATGGTGGAGGAGCGTAGACAAACTCTGACTCCGGCGCCGACGTCAAGGTATATGCTAAGGAGTAGGAAGGGAAGGGACGATAAGAAGCCGCTGCCTGCTTTGACGAGTAGTACCGCTGAGAGGAGATCGAAGCGTTGTTAGAATTTCAAGCTGGAAACTTTGATTCTAGCTTTCAAGTAAAACTCTCTGGTTCTGCTTTAATTACCTCTTCTTCTTCTTTCAACTCCTGGGATCTCTGTTTTGTTGGTTGATACTGTAATTGGTTGCTGATTTTTGAGATTTCTGGAGCCCATAACATACATACATTGAAAAGGCTGCCTGCTATATTCTTATGCCCTGGTTATGTAATTAACCAGGCAGGTCTCAATCCAACTTCGACAAACAAGTTACTTTTGTATTGTGTTCATTGGGCAAACACCTATGATGGCTAAAAATGATCTTACCAATATATATTCATTTGAGTGATGCTAATTGCTAAATGACTCGCATGAAATTTCTTTTGTTTTTTTCATGCATGTCACCGTATCTCTAACTTTATTTAGATTTAAAATGTCAACTTTATTCAAATATATATACTACTTCCCATCCTCAAATTAAATTCTTAAGTATATTTCGTATGGAGATTAAGGTAGTGAGTATGGTGAGGTGAAGAAGAAAATTCTTAGTGTACATGGGTTGCACACAAAATCTCCCTATTTATTTGTGTACACAGACAATTCATTTGAAAATGGACATAATTTGATGCCAAAACCCCTCTAATTACGTGTGTATACATGTAATGTACAATTTGTGTACACATTTTGTATAACAAGAATGACCCATGTATAAAAATGTGGAAGAATTGATGTGAATTATAAATTCTTTGCTAGAGGGGAAAATGAAAGTTTATTTTGGAAGGTCCAAAAGGGAAAGTTTAAGGACAACAATTAATTAACTGAATTACAGTTCATTTTCATTCACAACAGAACTACTAATTTTAATCACATAAGTTTCCAATTTTGCTCAATTAACTGACAAATTCAATCAACAATAAAAATGCCAATGTTACTCAACATAAAAAAGGCAATACATTCTTAATAAAACTCCTACTTATGTTCGTTGGAATGTCGTATTACATTTGGTTCATAACATAACAATCGATGGTTTTAATTTTTTAAGTAGGATTGGCTTTTTAATCCGAAAAAAACTGAACCGAGCAATAAAAAAATCGAACTGACGTTTTTTTGTGGTTTACAATCGCTTCAAACTGTACCGAACCCCACACCATGTCGTTAATAATAGGCTTCAAATTGTTTATTACCATGTCGTTTTTTGTGATTTTCACCAATGTTTGAATCTCACATGCTCACATTTGATTTTCACCATCGACTCCTCATAGGAACCCTATTTATTTGCCCCTTCAACACAAAGTTTGAATAGGCAGTCTAAGTTGCTTCAATGCTACACCTTAGTGAAGCTTTACAAAATTTCTTCAGGTCTTCGTCATACCAATAAATAGACACGAAAGTTTGGTTCCCAAACACTCCGATCTCATACACACACCTACACACTATAAATAGGCTAAAAAATGACCATTTTTTTACCCTCTCCCTCACGTGCGCATACATCTCCTCCCCTCTATTCCCGCAGCTCCCTCCCTCCCGCGTCGCGTCGTCGTAAGAACTAGAGCGTCATCGTCGTCAAAGTAGGCCTGTGATGCGGCAAAAATCGTTGTATGTGAATTCTTCAATTTTACCCTCAACGTTGAACCAGAGCTCATCTACAGGTTGTTGCTTGATCATACGTAACAACAACACGTGCACAATTTGGGCACAGAACTGAATATCAGGTATGTCTACAAAGTGACCCCATGGTGTCTTCCGAAAAATTGTCATTTGTTGTTTGGACAACATGTCCTTAACGTACTTGGAAGCATGTTTGACGTCCGAGCACATAGAAAACTGGGCAGGGAAATGCTTGCTCAATGGAATCTGGAGTTCAAGTGGCCTATGATTGTAAGAAAGTAAACCATAAGCACACAGACATATGTTAAATCACACAGACAAGCATTCAGTTATATACACACAATCAGGTATATACAGACACACAATCAGTCACACAGACGTATGTAGAAAAACTTTTGTTTAACATTATATTGAAAATAAGTAAACTCAATGTGTTTTAATTATATTTTAATAAGTGAATTCATTTTTAAGAACTATCTTTCAACAATCCGCATTATTTTAAGGTACCCGAGGTCCAAATTAATCAAGCTATTTTAAGGAATTTGATCCTCAACATTCCACAATTCTAAAATACATTGGAAAAATCATTACTTTTCCGAAAGACCTAGAAATTTTTCCCTCAACTTTTTGCTATGATTGACCTTATACATGCAGTATACAATGATAACTCATCATTCTTTTTCCCTCAAGTTTTTAACAAATAAAGGAGATATTTTAAAGGGACAAAATATTCTAAAACACTCTTAAAGGGACAAAATTATTGGGAATCCATTAGATAAAAAGGCCAAATGATAGAATGAAGCACAATTTAAATTCAAATATTAGTGAATCTAAAGTTAAGAAAGTGTGCATAAGTTTGGTATAGAAGAAAAAAAGGAAAATGTGTCAAAAGTAAAATAATGACATAAACCGGGTAAAAGAATAAGTGCATCTAACAAAATCACGAGTGGACATAGTGAAAGATGTTGACTATTCATTGTGTTTTAATGCTTCAAATAGAGCATTGTTCCAAATTTGGTAATTTAATCAACTGTAGTTTCTACCAGTACTTGTTTAGAAATATTAGAACTCAATTAAGTGAAAAAGAGTAAGAAACTTATGGAGGATTAATTGGCACATCAAAATTAAGAACAGAGAAAATTTTACACAAGAGTTATACTTTAGAACTGTTATATTGTCTTGCATTCAGGCAAAATAAAGTCCCCACAGACATTTACAGAGCCATACAGACATTCATATAAGTCTTCACAGACAAATGGAGGCACATCCTTTTACATATAAGTTCACACACACAAATACTTAGACAAATGAATCTTCACACAGACAATACATATGTCCTTCAACAGGCATAAAATCAACCTTACACAGATAATACATATTGTTCAAAATCCAAGCAATAGATGGGTTCCAAAACTTCTTAAACAGAGATATTTTGCTTCACCCTCCAAATTAATATCATCAAATAGCCTAAAATTGTAGGGGGAAAAATAAAAAATTGAGGATACATACCTTTCAGCCATTTTTTACTGAGACGGGGAGGAAGGTTCGCACCTTCGAGTGTGCAGCGACCACGCTCGCCTTTGACGGAGGTTGGCGGGAGGAAGGCTGCCTTCGACTAAGGTTGGCGGGGACGAGTTCGCGGCGACGAGGTTGGGTTCGTCGAGGGTTGGCGGCGACGAGGTTGACTTCGTCGAGGGTTGCCGCCGACGAGGTTGCCTTCGTCGAGGGTTGGCAACGGCCCTGAGAGGGGGATTAATCGGCCAGCGACTGAGACGGTTCGAGGGAAGGGAGAAGGTGGGATGCGCGAAATAATTTCAAAACGGGTGTTTTTTTTTTTAAGTGTGGCACGTGTGAAATTGGATGAGGTGAGGGAAGGGGGGGGGGGTAAATTATTTTTGAGCTATTTATATAGTGTGTATGTGTATATACGAGAGTGTTTTACCCTTGCGAGAGCTGAGGGTTTGGAATTTCTCCGGCGAAGTCTTCGTCGTCTTCGTGCGGCGCTGGGTATCGACGCGGCTATGGCGTCGTTTTTGTGCGGCTTGGTCAATTGCCGTAGCAAGGCGATGGAGGACGGTTCAGACGACAGACGCAAGGATGATCGTGACTGAGAGGAAGAGTAGGTGGGTGATCTACGAATAGATGATGATGGGGCTTCTGAATCCGATTCTGGGGCGACAACGAGAGATGCAATCAATCGAGCGACGAAGGTCCGGCCTCCTCCTGAACCACCGTTAGGGATTGCACGAGGTGCTAGGGTTCAAGACTTTTACTTTGCTTATTTACTTTTTCTCATGTTTTGTCCTCCTCCGATGAGACTTTATTATTTTGTCATTTGGTTTCTCGTTATTGTCTATGTTGTTAGGTGTGTCAGTCTATTTGGGATTTTAGCCTTTGTTCATGTCGTTGGGTATGTTTGGATCTTTAGAGACAGGGATGGCTGTGTCAAGCCCGTTACATGGTTAACGATTCGTGTTGCTCTTTCAGGGGTGACCGTCTCTGAGTCTCACCATAGGGTGTACGGTCGTAGTTGTTGGTGTCTGGTTGGTGTCAGATTTGTTTTTCATTTCATTGATGTAATGATCCTGAAACTTATGATATGAATAGAGACTAGTTTTCGTTCAAAAAAAATATAGTGTGTATGTGTGTGTATGGATTTTGTGTAACAATAGCAAATTTCATATTTTATCGGTTCGGTTCGGTTCGAAATTTTTCCATATCGGTTTGGTTCCCTATCCAAATCCACCCCTGATTTTAACTTTTAAGTACACATGTATTATTGCATTAAACACAAAAAACGTGAATGAGTTTACATGTATTAATTAGGGCATCCTCATTGGTAAGATTATTATGGGATTAAGTTGGTGACATGGCAGGATTTTTAGAAAATTATCATTGAGTGACATAGATTATTTAATGGGATTATTTGCTACAATAATCCGGGATCAAAATATGAATCCAGATTATTTTAAGATTATTTGAAAAGTATATGTAATAGAGATTAATGCAGGACAGAAGAAAAGCAGATTATTTGACGATGATGATTGAGAGACGTAAACGAATTTTGAGATTATTTTAAAATTAATTGCATAACAATATTTAAATGGTAAGAATCATAGAAAAAATTGATTATTAGAGATCATGAATGGAGACGCTCTTAATCACATAAAAAAGAATGAGTACACAAAAAACGTGAATGTAGTGAAGCGAATAGAACTCTCAATCATTTAGAGCATCCACATTCATGATCTTCAACTTTACGGTTTTTCATGACTTATTATTGCCATGTCACGTTCACATAAGATAAACTCAAATAATCTCCAAACCAATAAATTTCTCCTCATTCATGATCTTAATTTACCTTGGATAGGAGCATGAACATGCACAAACTACAAATCTAGTCATCATCATAATTTTGAGTATATGCCTAGAAGTTGGAAATAATCTCAAAATAATCCAGCTTTAGAATTTGATACCAGATTATTTTATCAAATAATCTCATAAAATAATCTCAACTCCTCATCTATGATCCAAAAAACAATCCTCCACATCATCAAAATGATCTCAAAAATAATCTATGGATGTGGATGCTCTTAGATAGTGTTATGTGTCCAAGGATCCGGAACGCCGAATAGAGAACCATTAGACCAAACTAGTGTAGAACCACAGTTCCAACACCCTAAAAAACGATGCTATTTTAATATATACTACCTCCGTCCCATTTTAAATGTCCCGGAAGAGGGTGACACGAGTTT